AAGGTTCCAGTTACTGTAGCATTCGTCAACTTTGCATAATCGATGGTCGAATTATGCCTTTAAGTGACACTTATATATACAGGTTGGGCCGTACTGCTATCTAATGGAGTGTCGGGAACAGTGTGCAGTCGTTGTGATGAACAAAATCTGTAATTGACTTTCGTTCTCCTGACTAAATGCATGAACGAGAAACAGAATTCTCTGAACGACTGACTCGATTATCCCCTGGGCACCCCGAATCGCCAAAGTATTACCCGTTTGATTGAGTTCTAACATTTTGTTGTCTATGTCCAATAATAGTTGTTAATACAATCACGTATCCGTCAGAACGAGGTAACCACGACTTCCTTAAGACCAAAACCAATGCCCAGTGGCTAGATTGGCAAAGCTAGACCAATTTATACTCTCTTTTTCTACACGTGCATATTAGAATGTCAACTGTGGCACTTCTTTCCTAAACATTTGTGTTTGTATCGCCTTATCACCACAAAAATAGGTTAGAACTTGGATATCACAAAGTGGCTAGGCCAATTAACGTCGCGTACGAAAAATGTGTACGAGTACGAGTGAATATAAGGTAATATAGTAATATATATATAATGAAAGTAACATAGGACGTGCAAAATCATAACAGCGTGGCTTCTCTCTCTCTCTGTCTCTCTCTCGGCGGTGCGCAGTGAGGTGAACGCTGGATTCTTCTACAAGTCCGCGGAGGAGAGGGAGAAGCTTGTGACGGCCGAGAGGCAGTTCATCAAGGACCGCGTCGAGAAGGTGATCGCGCTGAAGAGGAAGATGTGCGACGGAAACGACAAGGGCTTCGTCGTCATCAACCAGAAGGTATGTCTTGTTGTTGTTGTGGTTGTTGTTGTTGTTGTTGTTGTTGTTGTTGTTGTTGTTATTGTTGTTGTTCATTATCTTCTTCTTCCACAACTTCCTGGTGTTTCCTTCAAGAGTATGCGTATGCAGTGGTTTCATGCACACTTCTCAGCCTTTGCTTTTTTTTGTCGGACGCAAAGTGCAACCAAAAAAGGGGCAAAATTACCAGTGTCGTCGTCGTCTTTGTCAAAGAGCAAAATATAACAAGGAGAGGAAGCGCCCCCATATCTGGCCCAAATTTGGGTTCGGCAGAGACCCTAGAACAGATTAGTGTTCTATTGTCTCTGGGTTCGGTCTGCACAGCCGTTTCAGCTGATTATGGTCCATAGATGGCGCCCTTGAGGCGAAAAGCATACAGCCAATCCGCTTCCTCTCTTTGTTATATTTAGATCCTTGGTCATTGTCATCATCATTGTCATCGTCATATATCAGGGATTGAATTTTACGACGGCAACTGACGGCATTTGCCGCCGGAACAAATTGATTTGCCGTCAGAGTGTTGCTACAGTTTGTACTTGCTGTGAAAGGGCACAGCCTCTGACACCCCTCTGACAGCAAGTAGCAGCCTTACTTGCTGTCAGAGGCAAATTGCCAAATTCGATGCCTGATATATGTGTTGAATTAAAGTTATAATACTTTGGTGTAGTAACTGGCTAACCTATTGATGGAATACGAGAAGAGGTGCGTTAATACAGACACTAAGCAGTCGATCCTTGTTTCTTTTCTACGTCTGTCTGATGGCGTAGTTACGGGAATATTGTCGGGGATGGTCGTTTGTGATATGAACGTAAATCTGTATTGACTTTCGTTCTTTCTGGACTAATGCATGAACGAGAAACAGAATTCTTCTGAACGACTTGCCTCGATTCTATCCCCTGGGCACATGCGTGGCAGAAATAGCCAATAGTTTTCAGTTCAGGCAAAGTGCTTGCTGCCCGTCACACGTACGTCAATAACTGTCACGCAATCGCAAACATATATATATGGTCATTATCATGAAGACATCGTCAGTCACCAGCCATAGTCAGCTCAACGCTCATTAGCGACGTGTTCCCAACTTTGATATCATTATCATGATTAGATGATTGATAAATCCTAACCCCTAACCCTACTAAATGAACATGTTAAAACACAAACTAATATATGACCATGACCATATATATTATAATATTATATATATATATATATATATATATATATGTGTTTTTATTATAATATATGTTATTATACCATTAATGACATTAATGTTAGGCATACACTCCTATGCGAGTAGTCACCCAGTAAGTCAAGCTCGTCCTTGTCCTGGTCGTCATCCATTCCGTCATACACTTCCGTAGTACGGTGATGATGACCATGGTGAATGACCACCTTTGTCATCATTGTATTTTCATAAGCCATCGATAAATCATCATAGTCATTGTTGTCGTCACCATTGCATGCAGGCCTCATGTTAACATGTTCACTTGTCATTGTTTGTCGTCTGCAGCGGCATCGATCCGCCTGTCGCTGGACATGAAGGTCATGTTAACATCTTCTTGTCATTAGTTGTCGTCTTGCAGGGCATCGAATCCGCTTGTTCGCCTGGACATGCAGGCGCGTGTTAACATGTTCATTGTCATATTTGTCGTACTTGCAGGATCGATCCGCTCGTGTCGCTGTCATGCAGGCTTCGTCGGTTTAAAATGTTCATTGTCATTGGAAAAAAACTTTGTCGTCTGCAGGCATCGATCTCGCTGGCTGATAATACAGGCTCGTCGTTAACATGTTTCATTGTCATTGTTGTCGTTCTGCAGGGCATCGTCCGCTGATCGCTGTTACAAGCAGGGTCGTGTTAACACTCGTCATTTCATTGTGTGTCGTCTGCAGGGCATCGATCCGCTGTCGCTGTACAGTGCAGCGTCGTGTTTAACATGATTTATTTCATTGATTGTCTCTGCAGGCATCGATCCGCTGTCGCTGGACATGCTGCTCGTGTTAACATCTTCATTGTTCATTGTTGATCGCTGCAGGGGCATCGATCGCTGTCATAGACCATTGCGGCGTAGCTGGTTAACCATCTTTCATCGTCATTGTTTGTCGTGCTGTCAGGCATCAGATCCGCGATGTCAAGACATGCAGCGCGCGTGTTATCATCGTCACTGTCATGTGTATGTCGTCTCAGGGCATCGATCCGTGTCATAATATGCAGGCTCGCTTTGTTAACATCGTATTGTCATGTTTGTGGTATGCATGGGCATCGATCGCTGTGTCATAGAGCATGCAGTGCCGTGTTACATCGTCATTGTTCATTGTTTGTCCGGTCGCAGGGGCATCGATCCGCTGTCGCTAGACGATGCCGCACGCGAGGGTATCGTTCGCGCTGGCGCCGCGCTAAGCGCCGCCAACATGGAGCGCATCCCGCTCTGCGTTGCGGAGCATCGCGGCCAAACTCCGTCGGGACCATGACGCGGACATGTGGAGAGGCCGGGCTCTGTCTACGAACACGTGCTGGTGAGGTCGGGGCCGAGCGCCGGCGGCACGCGGGCGCCCTCTCATAGTGTTATAGATTACTTTGACGTTTAGTTAGTAGCGCCCTACTACAGTTGTTGTATGTTATAGTTTGCTCTATGGTATTAGTAGCGCCCTCTACAGTTGGTTGTTAGTCCGCTGTGCGGTATGTTAGTAGCGCCATCTACGGTTGCTGTACGACTTGTTTTTAGCGCCAGTGTATGTAGTGAAGGTGGCGACTACACGAATTATGTGAGCAGTTACGACTCGCGTGCTGTTATTATCTATTATAGTATGAATTATATATATGCCATGATAAACACATATATATAAATATATATATATATATTATATATATATATATATATATATATATATATATATGTATATAAACACAGTATATTAAATAATATATAATATGTATACGTATAATATATATGTGCTGATAACATATTAATACGTCGTTATTATCTTGCGATCGTTACAACAGGGAGAGCAGAAGTTCACGTTTATCGAGGAGTGCAAGCACCCGCAGTCGGTGACCGTACTCATCAAGGGGCCGAACCAGCACACGATCACGCAGATCAAGGATGCCATCCACGACGGCCTGAGAGCCGTGAAGAACGCCATCGAGGACGGTGAGTGGTGGCGCCCTCTGTTGTCCAACCACGACGTGCGCGCGAGATCGTGCGTGGTGCGTGAGCTGTTGGACTCTTGGGTGTGGCTTCTTCTGTAGAAAGCGCTTCGTTGGTTTGTCGTGCGAGGCCGACGTTGAAAGACGTCGGAAGTCGTCACGTGATGAGTGAAATTTTTTATTGATCCTCTTCTGAAAATTGATCCTCTTCTGTTAAAAACACTTCGTCGTTTGCCGTAAGAGGGCGCCACTTGTTCTCGCGTTGAAACCGATGTCGTGAAGTCGTCGTGATGAGTGAAATCTGTTATTGACTTTCGTTCTCCTGACTGCAAGCATGAACGAGAAAACAGAATTCTCTGAGCGATTTTCGAAAATATCATTATGAAGCGTGCGTGAAAGCGATCGCGTGGTGCAGAGATGCCAACCACTACGATTTATCCGTATTTTATGCGAATTTCCTTTGCATTTTGACCACTACGACCAGTTTGCATGCAACGACGATTTTTATTACGATCGAAAAAAAATCGTTTTTATGATATCTCAAGTGTTTTGTTTCAGTGTTACATTGATATAACATGATTGAAAATAACTACATGTATTTAGCAGCAAATATCAGTGTGAACTTTTTGTCATTTTGGGTCCCAGAACGCAGGAAATTGCATCTTGGAATCAAAAATTTTCCGGTGGGGCATGTCCCGAACCCCTCTAGTATACTTGGGTCACTGCGTGACCCTCGGACTACAGATTTCAGACGTCCTCACTACAGTTTGCTCAGAAAAGTGTTGGCATCTCTGCATGGTGTCGGCGGTGTGTGAGTCCGCTGTGACTGTGAGGGGGATTGGCTTGTGTTATTAAAAAGTACATTGACAATGTGTAAAGTTATGCACAGCAAAACGTTGCAGCGTGCAACATCTAGCGTGCAACACATTACAGCAACACATTACAGCGTGCAACATCTAGTGTGCAACACATCACAGCAACACATTACAGCGTGCAACATCTAGCGTGCAACACATTACAGCGTGCAACATCTAGTGTGCAACACATTACAGCGTGCAACATCTAGCGTGCAACACATTGAAAACATTGTTCTCGTTCTCTCTCTTCGCTCTCTATGAATTGCTCATCGTTGCTCGTCTCTCTGTGCAGGCTCGGTGGTTCCCGGTGCAGGAGCGTTCGAGATCGCCGCGTATTCCGCACTGGTGGAGTTCAAGAACACGGTGAAGGTGAGTGATAGTCGGGCGCCAAACATTCCGCGACAATTCGTGGCTGGGTCGACGGCCGAGTCAATGTGGCTGTAATCTTTCTCGGTGATAAATCAAAGTATATATTATATCAAGTATATCAACACTATACCCTATATAAAGTGACGGTCACTAACCCGGTGCACTCCAGTCAAAAACAAAAAGGTCAGGCGTGAACGGGATTTTTCTTAAAAACCTGGCAGTAAAACGATTGGGGCCAAAATATTTAATAAATATGTTGCTACGAGTTTGGCTTAATGTTTATATTTTACACTAGGGTGACAATAACTAAGGAGTCGACAAGATAAATATGAAACCTATTCATACTTGAAGGGCTAACCTGGCAGCGTGGAACTAGTGAATGCAAATATGACGTGACAATTTATACGTAGTATATGAAATGTTATAGTTCTCCAGCAACTGATATTCTGACCAGCACTTTTATCTGTGCCATCCACCTCCTTGTTTGAGTCTGTTTAAGCTGGTACCGTGTTTATAATTTTAACAATACAATTTCAATATTATAGTCCATCGTCATATATCATCAGTCGCAACACTGAACTGTTAGAGTAATGAACTGTCCACTGGTCACTTATGTGGCGGCCTTTAAAATGTAATCATCTTTGCATTCACCTGCGTTTTCATCCGCACATTATGACGCCATCTACCTGGGTGCTTGGTAGCCATGGTGTTTGGTGTCTGGGCAGCTTTCATGGCATGCAAGCACAGGCTTCAGCGGATGGCAAGTCCCTTTGTCCTACAGGAGGAAATCTGCACGACGAACAGGGCTAACTTCTTACAGGGCGACATGCCGTAAGCTCTAACCAGTCCACTGTGTGCTGGCTCCTTTGTCATCAGCACCGGGTTGGCAGAGCCACCATCTGAGATGGGCTCCAGCCTATGTTGTCGAGTGTTGGTAAGTCCTGTCTGCAAATCAACTAGTGCGCCTCCTCATACAACAGTTGGTAGTTTGAACCGCTTTAGGTGTTGAAGGACGCTGTCTGAAGTCGGCCGGCAACACCGTTTTCTTCTGACCTCTGCCAGAAAAGGCCCAGTACCGATCCATCATGGCTTTTGCGTGCCAGCTTTTGTGGTCTTTTGATGTCATACATGCAACAAAACGTTCAGACCAGAGATAATGATCTTCACTCCTTGTGGTGGTCTTTGGCCGGCAGCTGAGACACCTGCTCCCTGGTGCGAGCTCACTAGCATATTGTGGTTGAAGGCCTTTTTTCTTGGCGATTCCCTATTCAGTGAAATGTTAGAAGTCGCATCCGGTCAAGTGATGGAATGCTGGCATTGGCATCACAGAAGCTGCTGGACCCAACTCGGGGCAGCCAAATTGTGCATCGGGGATGTACCTCGGCTTGTCCTTCAACGCACAGTGCGGGCACCATAGTTGTTGGCAGGCGAGAACGTTGAAGTGAGTGACTACACAGACAGCTACAATCTGTGTCTGGGGATTGGATGATGATGCCTTTTTGTGGTCATGCGACTGCATGTTTCGCATAGCAGGCAGTAGCCTAAGTGTACTGCTTTCTCCGTGGTCTGATCTGAAGAGGTGCTAGGCGCTCTCCAGCAGTGTCCTTTGATACTAGAACCAGCCTCTGAACCATCTCTGAAACCACAAGCCAAGGACAATTTGGCTGGCGCGAGTTGCAGCTTCTCTTGTGCATGTGACAAACGTTTCCGACAGGAAGGCACACAGATTGGTCTTGTTTTGATGGATTGGCCATAGGTATTTCGAGACCACAGTGCTTGGAATTTGGTGTTGCTTGGGCTCTAGATTTTGATCTCTAGGGCAGTGGATGCTCGCCCGTTTGGCACAGCATCTCCAAACAGCTTATGATTGGAAATGCTCGCTGTACTGGTCGCATGAATACACATCAGACTCGCATGCATCCGTTGCTGAAGACAATGGTGGCAGTGATGTAGACTGGTAGATGGACTTGGACGAGAGCTCTCCGAAGGTTGACACACGTCACGAGACTTTAACATCTGTAAAGAAGCCCCATATCATCAGATGTGGGCAGTTGTCATCCCTTGCATCGTGGCTGGAAGTTTCCCGAACATCCACCCATGGTCTCCATCTTCCGAGAGAAGCACACTCTTTTGTGTTTTCCTGAGTTGCCATCCGAGTGTAACGAGTGCCCATAGGGCACTGTCGAGAGGTTCATAGCTCAGGAACCTTTTCAGGTTTACTGTCCCTAGACTTTGCAGAAATCACTTAAAGACGGCAAATAAGTCACGCTCAGAACAGCAACAGTGATTGTTTTGTCGTCAAGCTGTCTTGATTTTCTTGCCTTCTTTGCCATGTGGTGGAAGGTCTTGATCTTGAAGATTGGGTAAGCATTACCAAAGAGCACCTCATTGGTGTTGAGTTCCTTTCTCCCAAATGTTGTCATCTGTGCTGTGCCTAACTCATAGGCAGCTCAGTAGAGTAACGTCTTTGTAACTCTTGTGGTGGCATATACAACTTATCCTATAGTGGCAGCAATGTTTGATAAGTTTGGGTAAGGGTCATTCACTAGTCATTGATCCACTTCATCCAGAAAGAATGAGGTAGGTCTGTATGAGGCCTGATGTGATTGTGGAATCACATCAGCCTTGTTGACATCTCCTCATCTCTCTCGTCTGTTCTAGGGCTGCCTCCCTTGTGTTGTTCCCACTCGATCAGAATCTTGCAGGCCCCAGCATCTCCTTCATTGCTGTTGTTGACTAACAGCTCGTTCGTGCTTGGTTTATTAGAACCAGCGTTCCAGTGATCCGGGTTTGCTGACTGATGCGATGATGCACGCCTTGGTCCTTTGAGTCTAGGTTGATGGATTGCTCACAAGGCATATCAAGTCTACACTGCAGCAAGACGGCTGACTAGACCTGCTGAACAGCATGGCCTTTGCCAGTGAGCAAACCTCTTTGTGAATGGCAGGATGGTGTGCCTGCCAACAGCTCTGGGTTTTTCATGTCGGTGATGTAGACAGGATAGCACATCAGGGAATAGTTTGGGCCTGTCCATCTGGCGAAGAAGTGGGGTGTGTCATGGCAGAAGTTGCTGACAGGTGTAAGCCAGTCACTGAGTGCCTCTGATGCTCTGATGAACTGGAGTACGACAGCTGGACCATAGCATACATAGTCATCTGCCCAGAAAGCAAAAGCAGGTGAGATTTGCTGGGACGCGAGCCTGCATTCTTGAATGTGGTGAACTGCTGTTCCAGTCTAACGCATTATTCTTGCGTGCAGCTTGTCTAAAGTTTTCCTTGACATTTGATTTGCCTTTCCTGGACAAGCTTTTCTAGCGCCTGGTGTAACTACTGCCACTGAGCTTCTTCTTTATTTACTACACCAGCAACCATGATTGTCTGACAAGCCACTTGATAGTCTTGGCCAGCTGGAGTACGGATTATGGCTTCCATGATCCGTCGAATGTGCACGAACTCCTCGTTTGTAGACTACTTGCCTTTAGAAGCAGTGAGGCGGTGCACTACCATAACACTACCGCGATTCAGATAAGTAGATGCACATCTATTCCAGATCCATCATATTTGCTTTCCCATGAGGGATAGTGTAGTTTATGGCTACATGGAAGCCTCGCCATGGCAGAATGACCATGTTTGACAGAAAACCTCTTCTGGGTAGCGACACAATTTGTAATTCTTCTTTGCTTCTGACATAGATGGCCGAGGTCGAACGTTATTAACGTCTGTCTTCCTGGCCAAAGGCTGCGCCACCCATCGGCCATTTCTTAATGCAACCAGTAAATTTACAACTCTCATTTCAAAGTTGTTCTTATTTTTGAGAGATCGCTGTATGCAACCGGATACTGCGGTCATTTTGACTGACATTGACCGGGCATATCTGGATATTATGATATTAGGGGCATACAACTTGTAGAAACTAGGTCCATCTTCTGCCGGGCTCCGGGTAAACGACCAACGACTCGGAAGAGGGAATGGATGTATATTAGCATCACTCTACAGGTCGCTAGGACATGGTTGGATTCTACATACCACATTGTAAAACATTCTGTAACGCGCTAAAGTACTTGCCTCGCACTCAAGATGGGCGGCGGCCATCTGTTGAAAAATTCCAAGAAATGACTCAACGTTGTGCCACAACGAGCGATAGCTAATCGGTAAGCTGATAGAATGTAGCTCCATATCCTAACTATAATAGAACACATTTTCCATGAAATACAGAATACATGAGAGTTATAGTTGGATACATTAGCGGGGATCCGATACACGCCATTTGGCAACTGGAACTATAATCTTGCCTAGTGTCTTCCATATAGTGACCGGCACCGCGTAACATGCAACCTAAAATAACATACAATTAATACAATTCGACTTCAAATTGGGATTCCAAATACAATTCAATACCGATTTACGGCGCCCGTGCATCGCGCATTCGATGCACACTAGTACAACATAATAAAGCACATACACAATTCATTAACTAATTCATGAACGACAATAAACTATACAAATACCCAGTATCATGATATGAGCCCTCACCGAGAATCGGGCATTTTATAGGCACCCCGCTAATACTCGTAATGGTCGGTCCGTCACCAACAGAGTGCGGTAAAATATTATTAATACTCTATGTAGAATTAAACAATCATTGGTTTTTAATAGATGGTTGTGTACGCACATATGATCGCGTACGTCTGCCATACCGTTACTCTCGCACTTCCGCTGAAACATCAGTGCAAACTAAAACTTATGAAATATCTATGTTTTCATTAAAATTTATCAAAAATAATCATGTTAGGATAGAGAATTAGACTATACTATTTTCGTGTGATATTAACAGAGTGGTGGTATATTTATGAGTAAGCTCGTCAGTCTCAATACTCATCATTTCTTACTGTTCTACCATATAATGATGTATTGAATAAAAAATGGGGGTGTTGACAAACATGTGTGATATAACAGATTACAAACGCCGCTATATAGTCCAAATGTCGTGGACTCTCGAAGATGTTGGATCGAGTATTGCTCGTGAGTGATGTTATTTTCAAGTTTGCTCGAATACTTTTACCGCTTTGTGTCATTATGCTATAATATCTACTCAAGCTTTGACCAAGTGTAGATACGAAATAATTTTCGTCAAAGGCGTTAACATTGATAAAAGGGTTTGTAAATCTTGTGTTAATAAATGAGTTAATGTACTAGGCATTATTGTTTCATAAGTGCACTGCTATTGGTAACACCACCCTAATAACATCGAGAAACTATTTATGAGAAATATAAGTATTTGTTAGGAAGAGAATATTTGTGTCCATTAGATAAATTTAGTAGTGCTATAGCTTGTTAAAAACACTTTTTTATAATTTCTACATAATGTTGAAACTGGAAACCGTACCCGTTTGTTTCTTTCAGTAACTACCTCCTACCGCAAGAACCAAGCAACTATTTGAATGGTCCATCATGGTCAGCGGATTTCATTAACTATTTCATTTGCTGCTGGTAGACCGTTCAAGATGAATAGTTTATATTTACTGCCCTTATATGTTACCTAGGTAAAATAAACATAAGAAATAATGTAGCAACATTATATTTATATTATGGCATCGTTACTGCATGTTTAAATCGGAAAAATGCGCGTCACATGACGGCTTTTGACGCTGTAGTGACCTCCTAGTGACTCTCTTAAGTGACCTTTTTAAGTAGGATAACATTATTTTTATGGTAGGCCAATTTTCTAAGTTTTAGGGTTACTGGCGGGACGACAACAATAGGAATCAACGGAACAATTTTGCCCTTACCGTACTTAAAACTCATTAAAAATTGGTTGATTATTAGGCAAAGATATGGAGTTGTTATGTCTTCATTTACTTTAATAATACAGCCTAATGGCTAGGCCATGCAAACCAGCGGCAACAAACCCCCTTAGTAAACCATCACCACAAATTGTAGTTTAACGGCCCTCCGTCCCGGCGCAATCACCCCCGACGTTCGCCGTTTTGCGTCTAAGCTTGTCGCACTCATATATCGGACAGAAGGTGGTGTCTCTCCCATATGAAGTTAGACAACTGGCATTCGGTGGAGTCACGGATTTGTGGAGACTGGTGAACAGTCACTTAATACCCAGAAGTTAGGCTGCCGCATAGTGTGCACGTCAGGCGCGGTCATTATGTGTCGCAAATACCCTATCCTGTAGTCAAAACGCTTAGATGTAGTGTATTCTGAGACGTTCTGCAACGCAAACTGTTCCAATTTTTCTGGTGAGTAATGGTTTGTACGTCGTGGATCTATGGCCCGTGTGATGTGTCTGGTCACTGAATTAGGCTTTTGTAATCTCAACATAGGAGTGACTTGGCATCTCTGCATGGTGTCGGCGGTGTGTGAGTCGCGCTGGAACTGTGAGGGGGGGGGGATTGGCTGTGTTTTAAAAAAGTACATTAGACAATGTGTAAAGTTAATGCAGGGCAGCACACGCGAATTGCAGCATGCAACATCTAGTGTTCGCAATCACACTTGCAGTGCGTGCAACGATCTTAGTGTGCAACACATCTCCAGCGTGCAGGTATCTAGGCGTGGCAATCTAGCCCATCACCAGGTTAGAGCTAACGAAAAATGGGTCGACATCCTTCAGGCATGTAAATTCAGCATACCTCACTCTTAACTAAAGTAGCTCGGCATCGTCTGCAAAAACATAACATAAAGCTCCGTGTCTTTAATACTCAGTCACATTTAGACAGAAACTTATTGGCACTGGGTTGAGACAACGAGTTGCTAAGCATACACTACATATCGGGATACAAAACTAACAATTCGTACATCCAGCAATATTAGCTGTGCAAACCCTACCACCAATACATCATTCATTCCAGATAGGCGTGAAACAACTGTGTCGGCTTTCAATTATTATAAATTTTTGTTCTAAGCAAACATTTACAGGCGTGCAACATCTAGGCGTGAACAGCATTGGAAACATTGTTTTCTTCTGTTCTCTGCTCTTCGCTCTCTATTGAATTGCTCATCGCATGCGTTTGCTCGTTGGTCTCTGCTCTGCCAGGCTCGGTGGTTCCGCGGTGGCACGGAGCGTTCTGAGATGCGCGCGTATTCCGCCATGGTGGAAGTTCAAAGAAAGCACCGTGAAAGGTGAGTGATAGTCGGGCGGGCCAAACTTCGCGCAATTCGAACAACATAGCGTCTAAACAAGAGGAAATTCTCCGACATGTGATTGATGGATAGGGGATAAAACATAGAACGAGCCCGCCCACTTTCCATTTTTTTGGAGGATAAAAAAATAGAATTCGTCTGACGTTTTCGTTTTGCACATCGCGGTCATAGCGGCGAGCGCGTGCATTATTTGCTAATTATTAGACTAATCGCGCTTAAATTTACAGATGATTAAGGCTAAGGACATGTGTTCCTATATAGCTAGAATTTAATAGAATATGTAACTCAAATCGTTCGCTCCATATGATAGTTAGTAACGGTTCTACGCGTCTAGCATAGCGTATGCGGCGGGAGTAGGGCGGGGTCTATTTTATGCCTCGCAATCACAGGTCGGAGCAATATCCTCTGATTTAGACGCATGTGGAATTCGTGCGCTGGTCCACGGCGAGTCAATGTGGCTGTAATCTTTCTCCGTGATAAATCAAAGTATATATTATCAAGTATATCAACACTATACCCTATATAAAGTAATTTAATTAATATAAATAATATTAATAAATATTATTACAATAAATAATATATGTACAATAAAAACCAAATGATAAAAGATGTGATGATAATGGATGGGAGAGAATGCGAAAAATAAATCTGGAAAAGTTTTATCCGAATTTCTGAGCAAATGAAAAAATGAACTTATGACGAAGGCATGTAGTGCAGGCATTCGCGTAGTGACGTTCTTGTGTTGTAGGGGCGCGCCAAGAGGCCTCGGCGTGCAGGCGTTCGCGTAGTGACGTTCTTGTGTTTGTAGGTCGCGCGCACGGCTTGGCGGTGCAGGCGCTTCGCTAAGTAGTGACGTCTTGTGTTTGTAGGGGCGCTCGGCGTGCATGTGTTCGCATGGGGACGTTCTTGTGTTTTGTAGGGTCGCGGCGCTCGGCGTGGGCTGCGTTCGGCTGTAGTGACGTTTCTTGTGTTTGTAGGGTCGGCGCGGCTTGGCGTCAGGGCGTTCGGCGTAGTGACTTCTTGTCGTTTGTAGGGCGCTGCAGGCGTGCCATGGTGTTTGGTCGTAGTGACGTTCTTGTGTTTGTAGGGGTCCGCGCGCGTGCTGCGGCGTGCATGCGTTCGCTGGTAGTGAGTCTTGTGTTTGTAGGGTCGCCGCGCTGGGCTCGGCGTGCAGGCGTTTCGCGTAAGTGAGTTCTTGTTGTTTTGTAGGTCGCGCGCAGATCGGCGTGCAGGCGTTCGGCGGTAGTGACGTTCCTTGTGTTATGTAGGGGCGCTCGCGTGGCAGGCTATTCGCCTGTAGTGACGTTCTTCGGTTTTGTAGGGTCGCCGCGGGGTTCGGCGTGCATGTGTTTTGTGGTAGTGACGTTCTTGGTGGTTTGAGGTTCGGCGGGCGCGGGCTTCGGTGCAGGCGTTCGCGTAGTGACGTTCTTGTGTTTGTAGGGTCGCGCGCGGCTCGGCGTGCAGGCGTTCGCGTAGTGACGTTCTTGTGTTTGTAGGGTCGCGTAGCGGCTCAGACGTACAGGCGTTTCGCGTAGTGACGTTCTTAGTGTTTTGTAGGGTCGCGCGCGGCTCGGCTGCAGAGCGTTTGCCGACTGCGCTGTCTCGTGATCTCCGAGGTCCTGGCTCAGACTCCGGCTCCGACACTTCAGGAAGCGATCCGTGAGCCTGCAGCAGGAATACGCAGAGAGCAAGCAGCCCGTCGGAATATCGACCTCGCCACCGGTGAGTGCTGCCCTCTATACGCAGGCGGTGCGCGTCGGCGTCGGGTGATCAGACGCTGTAAGTGCGCTCTGTTGTTATGCCATTGTGTATGTAACTATACGTGCGCGCATGGGGCGTTTAGTGACGACGCTGTCAAAGCGCGCGTCGTGTGTTATGGCAATAATCGTCTGACCATGTTATACGCATGCTTCCGTTGTTCTGTGCTGCCGCACAAATAGGGATTCCCACTGACTCTGTACTGATGCAAATGACTTGTAATGAACTATGCGCTAAATAAATACACTGTAAATATCTGACAGCTGGTAAATAAAATAACCACTTACCTCACTTTATAACTTATGATAATTATTATAGCATGGAAAGAAATCGTTATTTGAAACGGCTAAAACATCCTGTTAAAAATCGTTAATTATTCCTGTATACTGTGATGTCACGCTCGTGTCACGTCCCCCTGGTTGCGATATTACCTCGCGCGCCAAGCGTAGTTGGATGGAGGTTATGTGATCGCTCTCGGGTGCGTTAGTGTGTTAGTGTGTTTGTGTGTTCGCGCGAGTGATATTACGCGTCGAGTCAAGCGAGCGCAGCAACCAGGCGCAGCGAGCAAGGCTGTAACACATAGCATG